TATTTAGGAATAGCTAAACACTTTTAAAGAAATGTGCTTTTTAATTGAAATTATTCAATGGTTTGCTTAATCTTATTTAACTCTTAAAAACTTGAAAAAAATTAAAATAGAATTTTAAGTTATTATTACATAACTTGTGAGTTCATATGACTAATTCTTGAATATTTAACTTTTAACAATAAAAAAACCTGATTATGAGAAATTATATTTTATTACTTTTAAATGCATCGATAAAATCTTGTCTAATAAAGGTTGATAGATTATTAATTATCCAATTTGTTTATATATAAATTAAATAGCTTGTTCTTATCTACCCTGGATTGTTTATTTGGTCAATATAGTACATAATTGTTTGATTGATTTTGAATAATTCTAATAGAATATCCTCTATAATACTTTTAAAAATCTCACAGAATCTGTCAACCAGATGATGTATGGCATCATCTGCCTTACAAATCGACTGAAGGTTCACTAGAAAAAAATCCACAATCAACACAGCATTTCAGATGGAGTAACTATCATATGCATAGACCGTTCGTATGACTATTTATTTTTTTTAATAGAAGATAATTCCTTAATAATTCTAAAACTCCTATTTTTTTAGATAGGTATTGAATCTATACAACTATGTTCATTTTAGTCCTTAAAATTGATGTTATTTGGTTAATAAAGGAGTGTACTATCAAATTGCCTTAGTCCAAGATCAGAAAAATTGATTTCTTCACCAAAGGTGAATAGCNTTTGAAGAGATTTAGATTTGCTAAAGAAGGGAAGGATTCCTATATAATAAATATAATAATATAAGATCATACATATTTCAGAAAATTATTAGAAACAGAATTATATAGATTATAAAATAGGAATATAATTATGAATTTAGTTAATTGAAAATGAAGGTATTTGCTGCCAACTAACACTATTAAATTGAATTATTCTTTTAAAGTTAAGTTGCATTCGAAAATTAGGTAATAAAGGGTTGTTTTGGATTTTTGAAAATAGAAATTATGATTAACAATTAAAATATATTTAATAATATATCTAAAAAATATATGCTTTTTTTTATTTAGTCAATGGTGGTACATTCTATGAGAAATTATGAATTCATAAAAGCTTGAGTTTGATTTCGTCTTATTATTATTATGAATATCAGATATAATAGTATAATATTAAAAGATGATTTTAGAGGAAACATATTTAAATTTAACTTCATAAATACAAATAGATCTAGATTAAAAAGTATATCAAAAGAATGGCAATAAATCGTTTAAAACTTAATGATTTTAACTTAAAAGAATAATAATATTTTTTTAGCTATTCTCTGTTTTTAAATATAAAACAGGTAATTTTTAAATAATGAAAAGAATTACTTGGCCAAGTATTTTATTGAGAGATATAACAGCCTTGATAAGAGACAAACGTGAACATGAAATGATAAAAAAATTATATAATTATTAAATAATATATTCAATAGCATTTTCATGATTTAAGCTCATTTAGAGGTAATTATTATAAAATTTTTATTTCATTAAAGAAGATTAATATAATAAGTGTAAAGAAGGTTCGAGCTTCAGGAGTGCTGATTTTTTGTATTTTTATTTAACTTCATTTATAATAAAAATAATAGTTTATAATATAATTTTGATATATATTATAAAGTGATCTACTATGATGAACTTATTTTCGAGTAAAATAATTCTAGTTAGCAAACTTGATTGAAATCAAGGAGTTATTATATTTATGTATTCTCTGGTCAGAGATTTAATTGATTTATGAAATAAACACTTATAAACTTATAATATAGGTTAAATACAAATTTTCAAACGAGTGTTAATATAAATAATTATACTTCATAAAAAATTAATCACCTTAATTAGAAATTTAAAAAATTAAAAGGATTTAATTATGTTCTATTATCTTTTGTTTTACCATTTTTGTGTCATACTAAGTTCAGAGATTTCAAAAAAATGTGTTTGTATGCATGTTCGAACAGAAAAAGAGTGCAAAAACTCTGGCTTATGCATTTGGGAGATAGATAAATGTATTATAAAACCTGGCCAATCATACAATACAGAGATGAGTAATTCGAATAAATGCAAGAGATATGCATAAGAGGATTGTAGACAATAAGAATTTTGTGGGTTTTATTTTGGTTAATGTATTGATTTTGATGACTGCATAATTTTTGATAAAGATAGTTGTTAAGAGTCTTCATATAAATGTGTTTCTGATGGCTCAAAGTGCGTTCAAATATAAGAATGCAGTGATTACAAAACAGAGAATGGATGTGCCAATATAAATAAGTATAACAAGTACTGCTTTTGGATCGGAGGGATTTAAAAACAATGTTTAGATGTCATAACTTGTGAAGGTCTACCAATATACTTAAATAATCATTAAATGTGTGAATCAGGCCTAAAGGGATGTACAATAAGTGAGAATGGTTATGGATGTATAAACTAAATGGAGTTTTGTTCATAATATGCTAATAATTTCTAATGCTTTCAAAGTAAAAAAAATAATTGCTATTGGGATTAAAAAAATGAAAAATGTGTAGAAAAAGTGTGCGAAAATCTACTGTTCACTCAGGATTACGAATGTAAAGGAATTTTAAGTGATTGTACAACTAACGGAGTGCATTGTGTAAAAAGGAGATAATGTAGTGATGCTTAGAGTATATCTGGTTGTGTAACGGATTTAGAGGGTAAAAAATGTGAATATCATTAAAATCAATGTAAAATAAAAAGTTGCAGCACTGCTCCAGATTCTCTTAGGAATTATCAATAATGCTAGGATTATGATAATCTATTAGATTGTGTTACTTCAGAAAACAAAGGATGCAAAACACGACCTGAAACATGCTATGGTTACGCTGAAGAAGTAGATTGCTATTCTATAACATAATAAGATTGTGTTTGGTATAAAAATAAATGCGAACAAAGATAATGTTACCATGCACCAGATTATTTTACTCATGAAGTTTGTCATTTTTATGGGAATTGCATAGGGAAATTAGGTGGAGGATGTTAAATGACACCTTAATTA